GTTTTTGAAGCCCCAGGTCAAATCTCCTCATTTAAAATACCTTAATGCTTGACAGAGGCTTCAGGCTTTCTAAGCAAAGCAGGGAACATTATGTACAGGAGGCAGCACAGCGTGACCTGTGTCTAGGAAGTGTCGGGGTAGACCAGAGTGGGGGGGGGGAGGGGGAGCTGAGGCACAGGGCAGAAGCAGCAGCAGGGTACCGCCCCGTGGAAGCATCAGACAACACCAACACAAGGCGCCACCCTAAGAAAAGCTTCAGTTATGACGTGGTTTTAGGAAATGTAGCCAAAATACTGGTTTGACAAAATTCCTCGAATTGAGGAGGAGAGTCGCTAACAAAAAAGATGACTGCCAAGCAGAAGCTCTGAAGGAAGGCTGCTCAGAGGTTAGCCAGTCTCAGTGCGCGAGCCCAGGAGAACAAACTGATACATCAGCCCCATTCCGGCTGGACTAGGAGACACGAGAAGATGGACCTCCTCTTCTGCAGAAGGGCCTGCAGACCTTCCCAGCCCCAGTGTTGCGTGCCTTGAAATAGCAAAGTATACCCGCTTCCAGAAACTGGGCTTTGGGTCCAACAGAGCTACTCATAGGCACATGAGCCGATTTCCCATCTCTGCTCACCTTGCTTAAATCCACAGGACTGTGTTCACAATTCATCCCATTTTTCACTTCAAGATTCGCAGAAGGAACAGACTGAGGAGACACAGTCTGGCCTATTTGGAGACAGACAAACACAATTCTCTGAGCCCCTGCCCTGTCCACCTTCAGGCACACCCCACCCATCACCAGTTACCTACAACTATCTCCTGCAAAGCCCACGTGGAGAAGTGGTTAAGGTAATTACGAGGCCAGGTCCCACACACACCTACTTCCTTACTTTACTCAGCACTAAAGGGAGGAAGGACACAGATCTTACTACTTCTCCATCTTCTGTTTGAACACATTTATGACCCTCTTTTCTTCTCGATTAAGGCAATATTCCTTAACCTGGGGTGCTTATCAGACTTCTGTGAAAAACTTTCTAAATGCACAGATGCCTAGGCACAGCCGCTGCAGTGTGATTCAGTAAACGTGGGGACAAGATCAATGGGTTAGGCCCTGCCTAACCACGGAAGGAAATCAATCAGTTGAGTGTTTACAACCTTCCTCTGCCCCACCATGAGCCTGATTAAGGTGATAGATGGATTAAGGTGATAGATGGATTAATTTATTAAAGACTCACAATAAAATTGGAGTAGATTCAAAAGTAGAGTAATAATCACAATTTTACAGACAAAAAAAAAATGAGACTTGAAAAGGTTACAGAATATTCCTCAAACTCTTGCCTTTGCAAGTGGTAAAGTCAGAAGCCCAAGCTGCAAAGTTCACGAGCATGCATTACCACATTTCACCTCCCTGATCTAAGACAATTTACTCTCTGAAAGGCCCCAGATGATCTTCCCTCGTCCCCAATCCTCCCCGGTGTGGGTAACTGTGGGGCACAAGTCCCTGGGTCCTGTGAGATCTATCCAAGGCAGGCACCCCTAGGCCACGACAGAGCTGGGCACCAGCCCTCCCCAGCCATCTGGCCAACCAAGCAGAAAGTGGCGTCAGTGAGCATGGGCAAGTATTAGACAAATACAGCTCCTGTCCTCCAGTAATTAATATCTCCAATAGTCCCTAAATGTCTCAGTACTAAAAAGAGGAAACGTCTCTCCCAATATCTTACCATTTTTATCCATCGAATGTGGATCAGACTGCTTCTTACCAACTTCAGCGAAAGAGCGAACAATCGGAATGAGGTTATTTCTCTTCTTTTCATTCTGATGATGGTGCTTTTTGAGAAGGGCTTCCCGCACTTTAACCCTCGTGCTGTCACTCAGGTCACTAAACAGCTCCTGCTGGTCCAGGATCAAGTCTAGAAAGTAGGCGCTAACATGAAGGCTCAGACTGAGGACCAGTGACCCCAAGGAGGCCAGGGCCAGGTGCGGTGGGGGAGGGGCAAGGAGTGAGGGGTGGTGCCACTGGGGTCATTAAAATGTAATTTCTACCTCAGTGAAGTAGAAATTATTATTTGAATAACAGTGGTCACAAGATAAACTTGATTCACGCAACAAGTCACCATCATTAGGAACAGAAACGGCTGAGCACTTACTACGCGCCAGGAACTATACTGCCAATCTTCCGTAACGACCTACTGTAGTCCTTTCAGAAGCTGGGGAGGAGGTGGCATTACAACAGTTTTTACAGCTAAGGGGACAAAGGTCCAATCCTTACAAAGTCTCCAGGGTCACACATGTAGCACGCTGCAGAGCTGGGACTCAAGCCCAGGACTGCCTGACTCAAAGCCCACGTTATTCTGTGATCGGCCACGCTCCCTTTCTCTCCCCTCCAAGATGCTGTGGCTGCCAAGAGTAACTGTAATAGAGGGTGCCAGAAGACGAAAGGGGATGGAACCTGTAGAAATAATTACAGTGACCAAGTGCCCAGACAATTACCAGCAGGCGTCCACCTTCAAGGCGCAGAGGTAGGAGGAGGCCAGCAGCAGTCACCGCAGGGTCTGAGGCAGGAGGCGCACACCCCGCCAGTTTCACCGCTCGCCACACTGTGGTCCCCGGCAAGCTGCCTCACCTGTCTGTGCCGCGCTTTCCGCGTCTGTATCATGGAGCTAATGCTGCCACCACCGTGGAGCGCCACACTGTGGTCCTGCCCCACCTCCATTCTGAACATACTTTAGGGTCCTTCATCTCATGGGGAATAAAAAACACCACGATCCCCTTCATCAACTGCTGTCTCTCTCTCTTATCACTTGAAGTTCGCAAATGAAAACTTCCTCAGTCTCCTGCACTTCGGCAATCCCTATAAAATTGCTTTTGATACAATCATCAATAACTCCCTTGTTGCTAAACCTCATGGATTTTCCTAGTCCTAAACTAACCTGATCTCTCTGTAGTGTTTGCCGCTGATGAACTGAAACTCTCTCCTTCTTGGTTTACGTAGCGGGTTGCATGGTGCCCCCTAAAGATATGCCTAACTCTAACCCCCCCCCCAAGAATCTGTGAGTATAATTTTATTTGGAAAAAAGGAACCTCGTAGATGTAACAAAGGACCACCAAATGAGGTCATCCTGAATTACTGGGATGAGTCCTAATTCCAGGGCCATGAGTGACGAGTTCGCGCAAAGACAGAGGCACACGGGTGGGTGCTCGGCAGCCGTCTGCTGAGGGGCACTTACAGCCTCGCAGAGGGGCAGCTGGAAGAAACAAGGCCTGATTTTCCCCTGGAGCCTCGGCAAGAGTGTAGCTCTGCTAACACTCGATTATGACCTTCCTGCTTCCAGAACTGTGAGAGAACAACTCTGTCACCAAATTTGTGGCGCTCTGCTCCAGCAACTCTGGGAAAGGAGTATGCACTTCATGGCTGTTCCCTGTTCTCTACTCATCTCTCTGACCACGCCTCAGAGTCTTTTAGATTCGTCTTCCTCCAACCTACCCACAAACCCCTCCACGCTGCACTTGCACATTGGCGTTCCGCTAGTTTCTGCCCTCCGTTATGAAAACCACTTATAAGGCTCTAAATACGAGCTGACTACGAATGTGTTGACCCCGCCCCCCTCCGAAACGCGGTCCTAGTTCCTATCGCTTTCCTGGAATCCGGGTCAGCCTTTCAGTCATTCACTAGGCATCTACACTGGCGGCCCCACAACCCCTAGAGTCAGCAAGTATAAAACAAACTAATTTCCCCACCAGATCAGGTTGTTTTCAAGCCACCTAAGCCAGCTCATTAATTCTCTATGTATATCTTTAGGGGGGCACTATTCAGCCCTCAGACTGCCAAGTCGTCTCACCAGCTTTACTCTGTGTTTCCCGGGAAGCAATTCTCCCTCCTCCCGTCCCTGACTATGGTTTGACGGAATGCCCCATCTCAACCACTGCAGTAGCTTACACCACAGTCCCCCTTCAATTCATCCTCCAGATTGCTGTCATCATTATCATCTAAAATGCAAAGCTTGCTCATTATGCTGCCAAAAACTCGCCAGTGTTTCCCTGTTGATCTCAGAGTTATAAGCAGTTTCACTGACTCCCAGGGTTCTTCAACCTTATACAGGATCTTTCAAGAGACCCTCACGGAATTTCAGACACCTAACCAAACAGTAACAAAATACGGATGTGACCTCAGTGGTCAACACAAGAGTTCTAGCCTTCCCCAGGCAGTTAGAGTGGTGATTCTGGGGCACTTCCTTGGAAAAAAAGGGGACACAGTGCCGCCCCCCCACCTCACCCCTGGGTCTCCACATGACCCCAGAAAAGCAGAATTACTTGAATTTCTGAAATGGAGCACAGTTTGGAGCAATCTCTACTTAACCTGTCTAGCCAAGGAGACCCACACAGTGGGGAATGCGTCTCACACTCCAGCATGGGGACTGTATCAGACACGTACGTCCCCTTCGCATCCTGACCAGGACCGGAGGGTACCCTAGTTCAATTTCCTTTATGCCTTGCTAACAAACACACTATAAAAATCTTTAACTTCTTTTTCTCTACATAACCACCAGTTGCTCCTTTATTTATTACCAAAACTTATCTTTGCTGTGTTGATTTTGATTGTTTCCATGGCTATTTCCCCTGCTGGACAGTGGGCTGACTGGGGACAGGAACTGTATGTCTTTATTCCCCTGTGCTAAGCACCTTCCCGTGCATACAGCAGACACACATCAATGTTTTCTGAGTGGCAGGCAAATGAAAGACTGAACACACTCTGTCACCTGAATCCCTACATCTGTGAAGCAGCTTATCTTCTGAGTTTGAAGCCCACCCATAGATGAAGATGCTGAGGTTGGGAAAGTTAGGCGACATAATCTTCCCTCTGTGTCACATTTGTCAATTTACACTAACGTGCTTCCATTTTCCTCACCTAACCTTACCTGAAATTTCTTCTATGCTATTTGCACGCATATCCAGAAGGACTGTTCCGTTAATAAGACAGCTCCTCAGCTCAAAGAGACTGTGCAACGAAAGGGTTGCCACATAAGGCTTGCTCCAGCGCTCTCCCCCATCCTCGACATCTTCTTCAAACTTCAGCCACCTGAAAGCATTACAAACAACCAGATGGCAAAGATAGAAAATGAGGAATTTTCGAGAAAGAACTTTAAAGGCGGGCACAAAAAAGGTATTGTTAGAGTTATCTCCACAAAAGGGAGAGGTAACTTGGCCCCTGCCCCACTTAGTGAGGGGCGGAGCTGAGCACCCAGGTGAAGCCAAGTGGCTCAGGGGGAGACAAATGGGGAAGAAGGGAACACTTGCTCCTCAGTTTGGGGCCTGCACCATGGACTCAGAAGACACGGAAAGACACCTGAGGAAAGACTTGTGGAGACACGTGGCCACGTGACAAGGGAAGCCACAGCCTGGATTTGCGCCTTGACGTTGCTCCTGTGGCCCCAGGTAGCTGTGACCTGCTCCAGAACCCTCTGCCAGGGTCCCTGGCTGGAGGTGCCGTGGACTTGTGGCAGCTTCAGGCCTCATGGCTGTCCAGCCAGTTACCCACAGAGGACGGGTAACTCGGGGAATTTCTTGTGGAGACCGTGATCCTTCTGTCTCTCCGCACATGAATTCCATTGAAGTTCTTTGACACTGAGTCTCCTTCGCCTTTGTGCCTAAGAATTGCTGGACCCCTTTAGAATGTGCAAGGGGGGGCCATGCAGTACCCTTAGTCGTGCACTAACAACACCTGAATAACTGAATCTATGTACACTGGTGAGTGAACAGGAAGGCAGATTATACATCAATGCACAATTTATTAGAGCGTGACTCCATTTTTATTTTAAAACCTTTTTAATCTAAATATGTATGTATTAAGATATCAGATGTTATATTCCTCATTACTCTGGGGATAATGGAACCATACATAATTCTCATTTCCTTCTTCTTGTGTATCTTTACTTTCTAATTTTCTGTAATGAATATGCCTTACTTGTACAATTAAAAAATTAATATCTATTGGCAATATTATGATTCATAAAAATATGTTAGTTCATTCAAAAGAACAAACAAAGTCTATTTCACATGTATGTTTGCTCTCCACCCACAGTTACTGTCTCATAACTCCCAGATCTGGAATCTCGTGAGCAATGAAAGAGTCTTCTGTCACAGAATCTAGTCTCTTGTCCTCATTCCAGAAAAAAACTTCAGTCATAAAAGTTTAAATGGATGTTTGTGGTTCTTAATGTTGTTAATGAAAGTAGCTTATGAAAACAACTGAGGCTGGGGCTGGCTGCCAGGGAAACCAACAAGGATAGGGCTCAGGCGGACAGTTCTGTCCCCCATTTTCCAGAAGTGTGAGAAGTAGAAATGAATAAATCAGCTATGTCAAAGTAACACAGCCTCAGTCAAGCCTCCTACAGAAGGTGCTTCCGAGAGCTTCCAGCTGGGGACAGAGGGCGTCCACGTACCAGCTGACAGACTCCAAGCTCCCAGCACAGTCACTCTGGCTGAGCCCCACCTTGTTCTATGCGTCTGGCTGCTGGCTGCACCCTTTAGAATCCTTTGCAATAAACTGGCAGTCTAGTGAGTAAGCGGCGTCTGAGTCCTGGGGGCTTCCTAGCAAACTTATGAGCCTAAGGAGGACATATGGGATCGCTGACTGACAGCAAGTCAGAGCATGGGCAATACTCCTGGCTCACAACAGGCACCCGAAGACTGAGACGGTAGCTGCCTGGTCAAAAACACAGGTGACCGGTCTGAGAGACTGCTGCCTTCGCCTGCAGAACACGAAACTGTCGCTGGCAGACTGAATTCTAGGACAACCTAGTGGTGCTTATCTGGAGAAACCACACTCTATGTGGAAGTAGGGCCCCAGACAAAATCATTTGGATATATTTGATGAATCACATTACTAAATGATAATATTTTTCTTAAGGAAAAAAAAAAGCCTATATGCTGTGACCTTTAAAGATTTATAAAGACAGAATGATGGGACTAATTGCCTTTTTGAGCGGTATCAGGTTGAAATGGCTTATTTAACTTTCTACCCACTGGGCACCTCCAGGCGTGCAGCAGGTGTCCAGGGAAAGCTAGTCCAGTGAGAGACGAAGCCACTAGCATTGCAAGTTCCCCAAGGGTACCAGCATGCTGACGACTAGTGAGTTACATGAAGAGCCCCAGACATGGTCCTCGTTAACCAGGAGGCTCTTGGGCTTGGGACAGAAAAGCATGGTCACTCTCCAACTACCCCAAGAAGTCAGGCTGGCTATAATCAATGAGGCTTGACAATCCCTCAGGAAGTTAGCCTTAAAAATTCTGGAACTTGCAGGCCCTCCCTGGTGGCACAATGGGTTAAGGCACAGCACTATGAAGCTATCGCAGCCACCACAACATGACTTCCATCCCTGGCCCCGGAGGTGACCCACATGGCTCAGCAGCCCTCTCCTGACCTGCCCGTTGCTCCCCTCAGCAGTGTGTCTGAGGTCTGAACCAAGGTGACCCTGTCAGGTGATGCCTAAGCGTCATCTGTGATAATATCAAGAGAGCTCGTGAATTGCTCCGGTCCTCAGACAAAGGAGAAGATCCCTGGGATGGCCCATGTTGCTGTCATCAACCCCAGGCTCAAGGTCAGCTGGCACATGTGTGACCATACAGGCATGGCCACAAAGAGGACAACAGCAAGCCTCCCACAGGAGGCTCGAGATCTCCAGCTCCCATGTCGGTCATTACTTCTATGAAAAAATAAAATGCAAACAAGGTGGTGGGCTGCTGAAAGGCACACATTTACCTGCCCAAGCAAAGCCTGACCTGGTTATTGAAAGGCCTCACCTGGCCGTCTCCTTCCACTCAGCCTCTTCTCCCTCTCTCACACAGATCTCATCGAGCTCTGTGAACAGTTCGTGTGGCACATGCTCTTCATCGTCCTCGGTGCCAAGAATGAACTGAACGCGCTGAGACGGTGTGTCTGGAAAACCAACCACAGAAAAGGTCGCTCCTGGTCTCAAGACAGAAATAGCAAGCTGCCATACTTACACATCTGGAGGCCCCAGCTCAGGGACAAGCCAAAGACAATCCTTGACACATAAAAAAGGTCTTTATTTTTAGGGAAAAGGCTGTCCTGTGTGAGCAGTTTCATGACCACTTGAAGAAAGTCCATAAGAAACAAAACATTTGATGAATTTGATCCAAAATAGCAGCTAATTTTTTTCTGCACTATAGTATTAACTTGTGGGGTTGAACTGCAAAGGGTCTGGGAAGATACTTTCTATTCTTACAGCAGTTCTTCTTCCGGAAACAAGCTATTAAAACCCTTCAGAAGGCTGGAGAGGCAGCTGCCGGCTTACTGCCCGCCATGTCCCTCGGCCCCACCAAGCCGCTGAGCCAGGGCCGCCGCCCGGTCCCCCTCCCACGCGTGTTACCGTGGGCCAGGGCTTCGGGGCCTTCCTCCCCCTGGCTGGCTCCTTTGCCCCGACCTCGTCTCCTGTGCTTCTGGCCGTGGGTTCGGTGGTGCCGATGGCTCTGTCGGCCCAGTGGCATCCGAACCCCCACGTACAGAGTTCTGTGACCTAGAAGAAGCAGAAGGTCCAGGGAAAGAACTCCTCTACCAACGGAGCTTACCAAACTTAAGACAAGGGGAAAGACGACAGCTCTTCGAGCCACGGCCCTAGTAACGAGATCTCAAGGCTGAAGAGGCAGAGCTGCGGGAGTTGCAGGCTTTCTTCGTGCGGCCTGGGACTGCAGACCTGCCGGGGTCTTGTTCAAATTAAAGGAAATAAAGTGGGTGGATATGATTTGTAAACGGTAAAGGTAAATACAGATGCTGGCTGTTGTCATAGCAACACTTTGCCTGAGCAATGTGAAGACCACTGCTTGCCCGCCGCCAGCCACCGCGGTGGGCGGGCGCGCGGCTGAGCCTGCAGCCACTGCGCGGGCCCAGACCTGCCGCCGCCAGGCTCGAGCTGGGTGGCCTGGAGCAAGTTATCTCCGCGCTCTGACGGACTCGAAAACGAAGGGTGGGAAGGACAGACCTGCTGGAGTAGGCTTGGGAGGGCCGGGAGGGGCGGCTCGTTAGCCTGGCAAGGAGGAGACGTGGGAGGAGGGCGGCCAGGCCGGGATGGCAGGGCTGAGTCCTCTCCGTAAACCGAGAGGTGAGGTCCTCTGCTCAGAGGGTGACAGTGGGCTAGGTAACAAAGCTTGTAGGTAACAAAGCTTGTTGCCTTCATTCAGAGAGCACCAAACCATGCACAGTGTCTAACACAATTCCTGGAGTGAATGCTAGTGGCCAGTACATTCCAGGGTCAGTTTCCAATACTTTTTCCTACACCATAGCATTTACAACCTAAACTGCCAACGCTACAGACCCTGGGGTGCGTGAACGAGGGTCCCAGGGAGACACTGAACACTGCAGGCGGGGCAGCAGCGGGTGAGCCCTCCCGCAGCATCCCTCCCGACCCCCACCTGCCCACTTGCCTTCTGGCCCAGCCTGGAGCCCAGAATCAGCAGTTGCAGGGATACCCCACCTCTAAGGCACAGAGCCTCGGGCTCCCCCTTTTCTGTCCAGCTCCTACTGCTCGGCACTCTGGACCTCAGGTCCCAGGTGAGTTCCCCACAATTTCCACCCCAAAAGCTGCCTCAATTTCGCCATCTTCAGAGTCACGACTTTACCCCACTGTCACCCTCTGAGCAGAGGACCTCACCTCTCAGTTTACGGAGAGGACTCAGCCCTGCCATCCCGGCCTGGCCGCCCTCCTCCCACGTCTCCTCCTTGCCAGGCTAATGAGCCCCTCCCTGCCCTCCGAGCCTACTCCACCAGGTCTGTCCTTCCCACCCGCCCCTGGGTTTCTCCTGACTCCAACAGCCATGCCAGGTTCGCCTGTCTTGAAGAGAACCTTCCTGTGAAGGCTGTTCTCCCACGTTCCCACCTCACCCTTTTCCCTTCATCAAACCACTTTCAAGAACTGTCCACTGACCTCTCCCTTTCCTCTCCAACTCCTGTTCTGCCCTGAAACTGCTGCTCGCCACTGAAACTGCCCTCACAAGGGGCACCAAAGGCCATTTATCACCAGGTCTCTGTCCTCCCAGGCTTCTCTGCGTTGAGCACTGAACAGCACTGATGGAACTGGCAGCTCACCATGAGCCCGGTGGTCTCTAAATGCTGGCTCACTCCTCTCCTCGGGGTCCTGGGCTGACCACAGCATCCATACCAGCTCACCCTGTCCCACACCGACGGCGCTTCTCCCGCCCACCCAGTCCACCAAAGGAAGGCACCGGGATTTTCAGCCTTGCGCTTCCATCTCTCTTTAGTAAGAGCCACTAACCTGACTTCAAAGTTCATTGCAACAAATTACCCTCCAATCTTCGTGCACAGTGATTCAAAATATCGCAAAGTAAACTCGTCGCCGCCCACCTCAAATCAGGTTCCTAATCATTCCTTTTCTTCCATGTTTCTGTTCCCGGCATCATTCTCTCAACATCCCAGGCCTGAACGTCAGCGTCACCTTAGGTTTCCACATCTACTCTGTGGCCCTGCGTGTTCCACCCCACAGACTGGGGGAGTCAGGCCTCCTCTCCCACTCTGACAACATCAGAGGCTCCTCGCTGCCTCCCACACCATTCCGCCCTCCAAGCTCAGGCCCCTAGAGCACTTCTGGCTCGTTACTCACTGCCACGCAGTCATGTTCGAGGGTGCTCAGTTTCCGGCGGATTAAAAATGAAAAATTCAATAGAAAAATAAAAGGAAAGACTTCCCAAAAGCCTGAGTGACCAGCAGAATGGGGAACGGGAAAGCCCACATATGCCCCCACCATGTGAGGAAAGCACCTAGAAACGTGCACCTGAGTCTACCCGCAACAGAACCTTATTTTGACTGCACCTCCTCCTGGTGGTCGTCGCTGACTGTCTCCGCCATTACCCCCAGTCTACAAGCCAAACTGCCCTTCCACAAATGTGCCAGGGCTTCTAGACTGGCGTGGCTCACTCTTTCAAGGTTCATTATAAATGCACCTTCCTTCCTGGTGGCATTGCTGACCTCCCCGCCTTCCTCTGAGAGCCCTTGGCAGCGTTCGTTATGGCTGATTTTGCACCTCACATTCAAACTAAACAGCTCCTGGCCTTAACTCCCACCGTTCACTTGCAGAGCTCCCCAAGGAACCAGGTCAGGCCTTCCTCTCAGAATCCCTCATCTCACAGAGTACAGAGTCTTACCCACGGCCAGTGCTCCGCCAATGTCCAGAAGTATCTGCTAAGGGCCTCCCTGAGGATCACAGCCCGAGGGCCTCCCCAGGAGCACACAGTCTGACTGAAGAGGGCACTCATGAGAGGGGCTGCAAAAGGAATGTGCGGGAAGTGAACATTTATTTAGGCCAACGAGTGGTCAGCAGGCACGAGGGGAGGGAAGGCCGCCGCCAACCTACGGATGGAGAGCTTGTGCAGGGAGGCCTCCTGGATGAGGGGCTTATGGCAAGAGTTCCTAGTTCTTCATCCTCTCTTCTCCCAGCAGTGGGACTCCTGACACGCATGCCTCCTTTGGCGATTCTTTGATTGTCCTCTCCACCCCTAAGTGAGGATAAAGTGCCTCCGGGGTGGGTGTGATCACTAGCCCCCTTCTCTATATTTCCTTCTTTTCTTTTGTCTTCCCCTTCTCCCAGAGATTTGTTGGAGTGTTAAGAGGTAGGAGGATAAAACATGTAGTGTCGGGTAGAATCTCACTCCTGGCCCTTCTCCTTAACACAGTCCTATGTTGACTTGGGCACGTCCCAGGACATTTTTGACAGGCAGATTTCTGAACATAATGTTCTCATTTTGCAATCATTGAAACAGAAATATAAAGTCAGAAGAGGTCATCTGCTAAGATGTGGAATTCCAGACCCCTGACATGGTCGGTAAAAGCATGACATGGTCAGTAAAGTACAAAAGTGACTAAATTGAATACCATCTTATTAAAGCACCATCTATTAAGTAATGATGCTGCGCTATGGTGTGGTAATGAGGTCCCTGCAGCGCACCAGTGAGACCAGCCCAGGTGACAGTAGCAGCAGCCAAGTCCCACCTCAAGGGGGGTTTTATTTTGCAGCAAAATGGAAAGTATCTAGGAATAGTTGCTGCCATCCTGAGAAGATGCTCTTCCAAGTTACTCGGGTGCCCTCTGTGGGTTTAACCCAGTCTTCAGGATCCATGACTTAGGTTCATTATTCTACCCCCAAGTAGACAAGAGTGTTCATAAATGGTGACCTCTTTGCTAAGGGCCAAGGTCTAATAGGGCCAGACAAGCAAGCTAATATTGCTCATATTGCAATGAAAGGGCAGGAAGGCAAGTGGATTATCAGGGCAGCAGAAGGGGTGAAGCAACATGGAAAAATGTTTGTACGCTCGAGTAGATCCGCCCTCGCAGTGTGCTAGACTGGAAAGAACAGAATTCCATTTTAGTCCCCCTACTATGAGGCTCCCTGACCCGGAACAGCTTCCCTACCTGTAAAAGAGCGATGACACCTACCTGCCTGGGCTGCTAAGAACATAAGAACATCACTGTCTGAACGGTTTAATCAAATGCCTAACGCACAGGGTGTTCAACAAACAGCCTCCCACATCCCCACACATTCCTCCTGTTTTCTACCAAATGCTGAAACCCACAATGGCTCTTCTTCCATCTGGTCAGGATAACTTGGAAAACTTGACCTTGATATAGCTGAAATCCACTGACCTCCACTGAGCCACCCACGTAAGTTCTCATGGTAACAAACCCAGAGGCTGAGTCAGCCTCCACAGCTTTCGCTCTCCACATCCAAAGGACAAGTTTTCTCTGGGGATTGTACAACTTTGATGAAAAAAACATCACGGGAACAAGCAGTACAGCGAGAACACCTCACATGCTGTCTCAGTCACTAGGAAGTTGCCGCCTCATAGCCTTCAACACTGCAGGAGATCTGCTGAGAGAGTCCAACAAAGGCCTCTGAGCCAAATGTGGGTTCTCGCCAAAGCTCTAGGGTATGAGCCTTCCCCCTCATCAGGAAAATGGGCCCGTGAGAAAGGGGAGCGGAAGGATGCCACACAAAGGCCACGGGGAGCTGGGAGCTGGGAAGCAGAGAAAGGAGGACGCGCCTCGCTGAGGGAAAGCAGACAGCGGGTTCTCGCACACCCCGCAGGGAGCACACAACACGCTGAGGCACACGCGCTTCCCAGCTCCTTGGCAGAACGGGCACGCTTAGATCAGGAATAGGGTAAAACAGTCCCCTAGCCAAACTGAGTTTTTAAAACTATTTCTATTGTGTTTTCTTTTAAAAGTATTTTATATACTTGTATTTCCAGGTAGTTGTCAAGAACCACCTGATCTGAGTACTTCACATTCTCCTATGTGGAGCATTTATGAACGCAGATGATCTAATCATATTTACATTGGACTTCACAGTGCTCCAAGCACAGCCTCACACACTATGTAGCCTAACAGTAAGACACACTGTTACCCTCCTTGTATTCAACAGACACGGACAGTGAGGCTAAAGAAAATTAGCTGATTCCCCACCCCACTCCCAGTCGTACTGCTAGAGAGTTTGCACTTAAACCCAAACTCTCCTGATCGCAGACCTGTGCCCCCACACCACCTGACTAACCGCCTCTAAGCAACAAAAGTTCTTACCTTCCAGCTCTTCTTTCTCATAGTGAATGTTGAGAATTGTGCTGGTCCCTCCCTGATCCACCACAGCTTCTTCATCTGGTCTCTGTGGAAGCGTAAGTAAGTGGTCATAATAACGCACATACATTCATTCCAACATTCACGCAGTTCTGTGTTGTGTCAGGCCTGTTAGGAATGCCTGGGGGAAGCGCATGATTTTACATACATTTTTAACTATAATCTCAGAGGAACTGTGAGACACAGATATGGTGACCATTCTCTGCTGAAACGCAGAGCACATTGTACCGCCCAGGTCACAGACATGGTGGAAGACGGAGCACCCAGGTCCGGTCACCACAGGCCCTGCACCTTTTCCCAGGCAACTTGAATGCACATACTTCTAGGGAGGTGGATGAAACAGCCAAGTTTCAGCCTATTTATATTTTACTTATGAATTCACTTTCATAGACATAATTAAGATCACATATTATTATGCACTACCATGGGATATAGCTAAGATACAATGTAAAATTTAAAAAGGAGGTGGAGAAAACTGTATAGCTTGCTAACTTTATGTGAGAAAGGGTTTTTTATGCTTAAAAGCAGGAATAAGCTTTTAAGCATAAAAGAAGCCATAAAAGGTATTTTAGAAATAGTTGCTTAGTGAGGCGAGCAGGAACAGTGAAAGGGAGACAAATATTGAAAGTAATCTCTTTGAGACTACCTTATTTTGTAAATATTTTACTTATCTTTTTTAAAAAATTGAAAAGTAGAAGTAAAATACAAAATGAAAACAAATATCAAACTGGCCACATGGCATAACTGTTTCAACAGAAATTATTCCAAAATACGTTTAAAACATAATAAAGGAATTGAGTATCCTTGATCGCATTTTTCCTAAGGCAAAAAGAATTTTAAAAGATACTGAACTTCTCTATCATGTGGTTGGTGATAGGGCTGGAGCAACTATTCTCAGACTGATATACACGGTGAAACAAATGAGTTACCATGTGAACTTACACTGTCACTCAAGGAGACTGAAAACTGGGATTCTCAGAGGGGTGTGAAAGACATGGCTGCAAAACAGAAGTTAAGTAGAAACCACCTAGTTCTCAATTTGAAATGGAAGCATCAACCGGAAAAAATGATATTAAATGTTAATATTATGTTTTTCATTTAATGTTAACATTAAATTATTTTAAACGTGAATTTTCTAATTTTTGTATTCAAAAGGTTCAGGAAACATGTACCATCATCAGCAACAAGATTATGGTCTCTTAAAGTTTGATTTTCTACTTAAAAGGCATTCAGCAGGGCCTTCCCTGGTGGCGCAGTGGGTTAAAGCACAGCATTGAGAAGCTAAAGCCACTTCAGCATGAGTTTGATCCCCGCCCCAGAGCTGACCACATGGCACAGCAGACCTGGTCAGCAGACCTCTACTGACCCATCGGCTGCTCCCCTCAGCAGTGTACTTCAGTGGGCCTGTTCTGCTCCCCACTCTGTCTCTGGTGAATCCTCTCACCACCCCTGTACCTCTGGCTTGTACCCCAGTTCTGTGTGCGCAAATAAATAAATCTTTTTAAAAAATTAACTAAGAAACTATTATATTTATTTTTTAAAAATTAACTAATTGATCACCACTGGAGTATAATGTTAATAAACCAACTTGTTATTTCAAAAACTGGTAACATTCCTATATAAATTGTATTATGGAGTAGTAGCATAATAGATGAAAAATGTTTCTCATTGCAGAGAAGAATAACTGAAAAAGGAATGTGAGAATTAGAACACCATTTTACAATCTCTGATGGATCTGCACTGATTTTCAACAGTTGCCACAGCACAGAGAGAGACAGCCAAACACACTGTCTCCTAATGGCAGACATATCACCATCCATGAAGTAATCTTATGTAATAAATGGGCCCTGAATCTGATCAAGTCCCTAAATCCAAATACCAATTAACTGAAAATAGAGTGAATACAATTTACTGGAAAAAAACAGAGTCCTCTAAAAAGCAACTCCACAGGAATACAGTCAGCAACATCCAGGTTATAGGAAACCTCTAGAACCTTCCTCTTGTTTTATTTAAGTAATTGCAAGAAGAGAGAGACAGAGAGAGTAGGGTAAAACCAATGGGTTACAAGAGACAATGAAGCAACCATAATGTGTGAACTTTATTTGAATCCTGATTTAAACAAACTGAATAAATTTAGCTATTAGTACGTTTTTTTAAAGTTTTGACATTTGAGACAATTGAAAATTTGGATATTGACTAGATCTTTCATATATTAAAGAAATTGTTATCTCTTAGGTAGTAGTGTGCCTTTTAAAAAGAATACTTTTAGTTAAACATACTGAAATATTTATCTATGAATCTGAAAAATCAGATACATGTAAAATATATTAACTTAGAATGATTACTTTTTCTCAAAATTTATAATCTAATGTTATCTGAATTCTCAAATGCATTTTTACCATCTGTGATTTCCTCTTCATTGATGGCTAGATATGTTTTGAGTCAATTTTGCAGAGTATACAAGCTTCACTCCCATCTAAGTTGTAAAGACTTTCTGATAAAGTATTTTCTTTTTTTTTTTAAGATTTATTTATTTGTGCACACAGAACTGGGGTACAGGCCAGAGGCTCAGGGGCAGTGAGAGGTTTCACCAGAGACAGAGTGGGGAGCAGAACAGGCAGATCAACGAAGTACACTGCTGAGGGGAGCAGCGGGCGGGTCAGGAGAGGTCTGCCACACCATGTGGTCACCTCCATGGCAGGCGGGAATCGAACTCATGCAGAAGCGGCTTTAGGTTCTCAATGCAGTGCTTTAACCCGCTGCGCCACCAGGGAGGGCCAGTATTTTCTTTTTTTAATCATACTTTTCTTTAAATTTATTTTTGCAGAGAACTATGGAGTAGGCCAGAGGTACAGGGGCAGTGAAAGGATTCACCAGAGAAAGCAGGGAGCAGAACAGGTAGATCTACTGAAATCCGCTGCTGCGGGGAACAGCAGGGTGACAGGAGAGGTCTGCAGCACCATGTGGGTCCGCTCCCTGGCCGGGGGTCAAACTTGGGCCATACAGGTGATAGCACTGAGGCTTACCCCTTCGGCCACCCAGGAGGCCCTCTAATAAAGCATTTTCCAAGGGGTAACTTTTAGGTGGAAAATCTTGCCTTTATTTTAGATATATCTGTTATTTTTTTACCTCACTTATCTTTTAGATTAAGAATTCCCTCACAGCAGAAGTCTCCTATTTTTATCTTTATGTCCTCTCAGAGACTACTATAGCAGCTTACTATTTTAAGAAATTTGTACAACTATTAGGTTCCAGGAGGATGGGTTCTATTATTTATGCTCACTATTATGCACCTAGTATAATGCCCAGTATGTAGTAAGCACCCAATATACTTTGGTGAATGACTGTTTAATAGTTTCCTGAAGTTTTTATCATATGATCATACATTTTCTTATAAGCCTCATACATATTCACATAAAAATTGACAGAAATATAATACTTACGTTCTATGTACAAAACAATGGAAATTTAATGTAAATGTAATTTATTACACACATACAATAACGAAAAGTATTCATATATGCATAGGTGGATGTAAATATATATATATTCACATACGTATATAAGAATAACATTACCTATCGGTTTACACACAGGTTATAATCTCCAGAGGGCAGGGACTAACTAAAGACAATGCTTACTGCTTATCCACAGACACGTGACATAGCACAGATTACACAGGAATCTGGAGGAAGGATGGGACAGAGAGAAATAACTGATTTCTAGACTCTAAGACTAGAAAAGCAGAGTATGAAGAAAAAGTCTATCATCTAAATATTCTGCTTAAAAATTGACTTGCTTTCTATAATTTGATTGGCTAATCATAGCCTAAATTCACCGAATGATGTTCAGTCCTTCCTTTTGTCTTGCCAAAGAAAACAGAGCCACTGTCAAAACGCCATTATCCAAAACATCCAAAAGGTCAGGCTTGAATGTCAGTGTGGTCCTTGTTGCATGCAGGTTCCAGTAGCCAACTATCAAAAAATACACTGAGCACCCACAGAAAAGAAAACATCTAAATGGATATTTGATTATAAAAGGAGTTATTGTTAATTTGTTTAAGTATAGTAATCATATTGTAATATGGTAGTTAGATCAGCTTAAAAAGAATTTTAATCTTCAGTGAAGTTTCCACTGATGATATGATATTTGAGATTTGGAGAATGAGAAGAGACACAGAGAAGGAACATGGTAAGTTGTGTTTTCATTGTTGAAGCCAGGCCATGTGTATGTGGTGATTGATTTTACAAGACTCTCCAGTGTGGCATTTGTTTGAAATGTTTCACAAATTTTGAGTACGTATAAAGTTTAAGATAATTCTAAAAACAAAAATGAAAATCAAGCCTCATTGGCCTATGCCTACTGCAGATTCCTCACCCACTGGCTATTACTTCCTCCGACACCATCATTCTTTATAGCAGGGAGGATTCTTAACCGTGAATTTCTGGGGTTCATATGAATGGGCATCAGTGGATTATGTGTGAGTGTGCATTTTTCCAGATTCACTGGATTCTCGGGGGAGTTTGTGGCTCAGAAAGACTAGAATCCTGAGAACCACATGATATAAGTTTAGGAGAAAAAGGAAAGGACTAGAGGATGAATGTGTGTGTGTGTGTGTGTGTGTGTGTGTGTGTGTGTGTGTGTAGGGGTGGACAAAAGTGAACCAGAGAAAAGGTTCTAAATCTCCTCTTTCCTGTACTTCCTCCTAGTTTACTGACAATTCTTATATAAATAAGAATTGGTTCTGGATGCCTGCCTCAAGGACTAGATAAGAAGAATCAGGGGTTATGTACACATTAAAACATTGAAATTGGAAGGAATTTAAGAGCTAAAGCATTTTTAAGAGCTAAAGCATTTTTAAGAGCTAAAGCATTATTAAGAGCCTTGAAAAATGAATAAATTACAGTTTAGTAGTAGACCAGATTCTCACTACCCATTACTGTACAAATTAAAAGGCGGGTGGGTCTGAGTCTTACTGAAGGCCCCAGCCCTGAAGGGGGGGGCCTCTCTCCAGCCACCTCCTGCTGT